TCCTCTTTGGGGCCTGTGTGTTCCTGCTCTGGGCTTCTCTTTTGGATTGCATGTTGCCTCAAATAAAATTGCTAACAACATATGGCCTGTTATGATTCTCTTTTCCCAAACTCTGCCATTTTGTCTATTTGTGACACACTGCAGATTTTGTGAAGATTGCTTCATAATATTTGTTTACCATCTGCTGCACCCTATTTGGTATCTTGCTAGGATTTTTTTCCTCCATTTTAAGTGACATTAACAAAATCCAGCCAGTACATAGACTTTCTGGTTCTACTTTTGCTTCCCTAATGTGCTGGAAAATCATATTACTGTGCTCCAGGCAACTAGAGAAGCCCGGAATTCTCAGTGTGAACCAGTGTGTCAGATCTGTTGCCCCTCCCTCCCCTTGGTCATATCTAGTAATGCTTTTCGGTCAGATGGCAAAGAACCTCCATGTGCAAGACAAAAAGAGTTCAAATTATTTTTTTCTGCTTCTCTCTACTTAGTACCACTACTTTCTAGTGTTCTTCACCAACATATTTATACTTTTGAAACTCTTTGTCACATTTTAGTAAGGTTTTATGATTTATAGTTCCAGTTAGTGTATGTTTCATAGCTAATCTAGTTCGATGGGCAAATAGCCAGAATCTTGGCTAGATGGGCTGTGTGAGTCCAACTTTTTATTGAGAAAAGTATTTTAAGTTATTGTCATACTAAATTGTTGGGTAGCTAAGAGATTTCATAGAATTCATGGATGTCTTCTTTGGAATTCATTGTCTTTAGAGAGAAGTATATTCTCACTTTGAACTTCTTACTCTTCATTAACTTCTCATACCTGGCAATTCACAGTATTTTTAAAAAATTTTTTCCAAGCTTTATTGAAATATAATTGACATATTTCATTATGAAAGTTTAAGTGTACAGGGAGCTGATTTGATACACTTATATGTTGCAAGATGGTGACCACCATAGCCTTAGCTAACACCTCTATCCTGGCACATAATTGCCATTTCTTTTTTGTGGAAATAGCATTTAAGATGTACTCGCTTAGCAACATTGAAGTATATAATACCGTATTATTTGCAATAATCACCATGCTGTATACATTAGATACCCAGACCTTGTTATACTTATAACTGGAAGTTTGGAAGTTTGTACCCTTTGACAAATATCTCTCCATTTTCCCCATTCCCCAGCCTCTGGTAATCACCAGTCTACCCTCTGTTTCTCTGAGTTTGGCTTTTTTAGGTTACGCATATAAGTGATATCACACCATATTTGTCTTTCTATGTCTGACTTGTTTCACTTAGCATAATGTCCTCAAGTTTCATCCAAGTTGTTGCAAATGGCAAGATGTCTTTATTTTTCATCGCTGAATAATATTACACACACACACACACACACACACACACACACACACACACTCTCTCTCACTCACACACACTCAACACACGCATACTCCAACACCAACATCTTGACCATTCTCTACTAGATCCTGTTCAATTCCTTTGGATATATACCCAGAAGTGGGATTGCTGGATCATATGGTAATTTTATTTTCAATTTTTTGAGAAACCTCCAAATTGTTTTCCATAGTGGCTGTACCAATTTGCATTTCCACCAACATTACATAAGGGTTCCCTTTTCTCCACCAACTCGTGTTTTCCTTGTTTCTTGGTGATAGCCATTCTAACAGGTGTGAGGTGATAACTCATTGTGATTTTGATATGCATTTCCCTCATGAGTAGTGATGTTGAGCATCTTTTCATGTACCTATTGTATATCTTATTTGGAATTCATTGTCTTTAGAGAGAAATGTCTTTAAACTTCAAAGCTAATGGTTTGCTCTTGGGCTGTCTGGGGGCGGTTAGACAGCTTGGATTTTTGCCCTTTGGCCAGAATCATCAGTCTTCGCATAGGTGTGATCACTTTTCCAAATCAGTCTCCTCTTTAACATTAAAAGGAGTGTTCATTAAAACTACTAGTTTAGTCAATGGAATTGTAATAGATATGTATGATATGGGGGGGGGTCGGTGGGTTGGGGGAGTGGTGGTTGTCACTTCGTGAGGGGTGAAAAGTATAACTATTGCATTGTTTTGTACACCTAAAACTATTTTTAAAAAAAACTAGTCACAATTATTAGAGTGAATCAGACAGTCCCCCAAAGAGCAATTTGTAAAGAAAACCAATACATACATAAAATGGGGTCTCTTATTAATTTGTAAGGACTGTTAATCACTGTGTCATGTCATATAAGCCAGATTTTATCTTCAGGCTTTATTAGAATGCCTCTTTCAACTTATCTGAAATCTTTCTCTTGGACAGACCCTTTATGGGACAGGGTTCAACACTTTACCCCTAGGTTGGCTATTCTGGCCTTTTGGCCTCAGCTTTCTGTCCACTTAAAGCAAAACACCCTTGATTTGTTTCATAGCTGCTTTTCATGGAACTGTTAGACAAGAAATTATTCTGGTGGCTGACTTCCCTCACAGTTTTTTGCTAAAATAATTCGTAAGAGATTTCATAGAAGTTTAGAATTCCAGAATCATTTGTTTTAAGTGGCCTTAAAGGTTCAAACCCTAGTTTTGAGAGCTTAGAGAACTTTTTTTTTCCATTATTCTAGTTTTAGAGAAACTATGATTTAAATTATTTTTCTGGAATTTCCCCCTCTTTACAAGTTATACATTTTTTTTTTACCTGTTTTACTAAACTCCAAGTACTTCCTCATCTCATCTGAACAATACCTTTTGAGGTCTTGCATATATTGAAATTTGGATATCCGCAGTCCCTTTGTAACCACCATCTCTATAACTGGCTCTGGTGGATTTACAAAAACCTACTTTGTTCAGGCTGGAAATTTTATCAAGTTCGGGACTTCATCAAGAACAAATTGGTTTAGCCCACATCTAAACAGAGAACTTGACTTGGTTTTAAAACAAATGTAGAGTGCTTTCATGTGTGGTAATATGCAACATTATAGTCCTTTATATTATATCTGTTTTTCCCCTTTGTTTTCCACATTTTAAAGAAAACCTTTTACTTAACCTTGAAAATACTAGTTTCTAGAACTATGTAGAAACTCCTCCTTGTTTCCAAAACTAGAATGGCATTTCTTCCCCAATTTGGCTTTATAGATTCTGTAACTAAAATTTTAAAAAAAGAAAGTGCTAGTTTCCTATATAGTCCTTTATATATGTAACATCCCTAGGAATACGCCTTCTTTGTTTCTGAAACTGACCACTGTGTGCCTTGTATTCTGAAAACTGGCAACCCTTGGTAGTATAATACTAGTAGTGACTTTAGACAGCTCCTGGCTATGTAGGTATTTAAGAAGTGTGACTTGATGATACTGATTTACACCAAGTTGGGGAACTCTTTGGGAGTGAACCAGGATCTAGGATGGAAGAACAAATGTTTCGGAGAGAAAACCCCAGTGAGAGCTGTCGGTTGGATCCCTGAGCGTGGCTGGCTCATGATGTCACATTGTTGTTGGATACTGAGAAGAAAAAGAGAGTAACATTTTTCTCCGAAATAGGCTAATTGGGAGACAACACAAGCTCCCTCCTAAGGTTCCCACAGCCTGGTCACTGAGCCAGGGGGATGTCTTCAGAGCTGCAGCTGGGCAGGAGGTAGGGCCCGCCGAGGTGTGATGCGTGAAGACCCATGTGCTGAACTGAATTTGTACTGTATTTTCAGTAAACGCCCCTAGAGCAAGTCATGTAAGCTTATTCTCTTCATGACAAATTCTCTTATTCTCCAGGCCTGGAATCAGGTTCTCTGCATCTAATCAAATCAACGTTTAGATATCCAAGAACGACCAAAAAGAAAATAACACCACTGATTGTTTAATAAGCACACCAGAGCTGAGACATGCAAATGAGAGAGCCTGCCCCTTCCAAGCCGTCCCCTGGGAGTCTGTGTACTTCCTCCAACAATGCTGCTGTTGCTCAAAATGTTTTGGGCATTTTTCTTTCAACTGTAAATTTACAGTCTACCACATAGGCTGTTCTGCTGACAGATCTTTATCTTTAGAAAGATGAAGTAGCTAACTAAATATTTAGAAATAGCCAGAAGTCCTTCTGGATTCTGCCTAGCAGGTAGCGTAGGTGAATGATCAGTCAGACTATTCCATTTTGGGTTAAAAATGACATGATATTTTCACGTGATCTATCTTCATGTTCTTAAAGCAGTTTATGAAGAGATATTTCAAAACTATTTTGAATAAGAGAAGCATAGTTGAAATAAGTACATTGTTTCTGGATGTGGCTGGTTCAATGATACACTTAGTCAAATGCATACATTCTGGTTATGTACTTTTAAAGCCTTATTATCCTCTAGTTTTAAGACCATTATTTCAAAATAGCGTGAATCTCCATTTGAAGCTTGCTGTGGTCAGAGTTCCCAAAACAAATGAAACTGTTCAGAAGAGAGAAAGAGAAGTACTAGGTAGGATGGGATCCGGGGAGCATTAAGAGTTGCTTTGCAAGTTAACCTTACACTAGGCTCCCAGTTTTTCATTAAAAAGGGAATAATAATAATAATAAAGTCACACTATCCACATTATGGGATCATTGTTTTTAAGAGGTTTTTAAGGAGATACTAGATATGAAGCACAGATAATGATGCCTTGTGTATAATGGTGTCCAATAAATGTTAGCCACTTTTATTATGCTATTGTGACATGATGGGTTGTCTGGAAGAGAGAAAGACTGGAAAAATAGAGGGATAGGGTGCTTATCCTTACTTTAACATAGATACATGTCATGAATGGCATGAGCAATATTCAAATTTTCAGCTGTCCCTAAAATTTTTAGTTATTTATTGAGATTCCATTTGTATTCTAAACAACAACAACAACAAAAAACAATACAACAAACCTCAGTAGCCCCAAAAAACAGGGTGTTGAGGATTTGGATATCAAATGGTAAAAAAACAATTGTATTATTCCCAACTGTTGTGGGTTTTGTACAGTAAAAAATGCAAATCTTATCATTTGCATTATGTTGCTTTTTAAACAGATGAGGATGAAGATGGTGATCGAATTACAGTGAGAAGTGATGAAGAAATGAAGGCAATGCTGTCATATGTAAGTATATTACAAATGAGAACTATTTTTTAAATGTGACTGTAGTCAAGGATGCTGTTTCTTGGCATAGTAAAGATATAAAAGTAAATCACAGTCACTGTAATATTTTTCTATATAGTATGTAAGATTTTCAAAGATTTCCTTATGTGAAAGTTAAGGGCATTCTTTTCAAAAGACACTTACTAATCATATCATGAACATTAAGAATAATGCATCTTAATGACTTTTGCATTAGGTATGGTGCAGACTAAATGGACTATCAATTTCCTGTATTTTTTATGCAGTACTTAAAGTAACGGCTCATTAAAAATGAACCCCTGGGCTCTAAAAAATTTTTCAAAATCTACTTTCAACTAGAGATCTCTTTCACCCTTCAAAACAGACTATAGTTATAATGTAACTGCAGGCTTAATATGGATGCACAATTTAAAGATGTACTCAGTTATTTTACGCGCTAACCACCGCCCTGCCCCCATCCCAAGATGAACTACAGGGTTACTTACTGAATCAAAGTGATTTGAATATACCAAGAAATGACTTTTCTTTTGTGTTTTCAATTTCAGTGAAAATTTGCATTAATGTTTGTCTCAGGACTGAAGTAGATAAAAAAGAGAAAGAGTACATTTCTAAAAATTTCAATACTAAGCTTGAAAAATTCAACTATGAGGAAAAGACATAGATCGCTTCCCTGAGCCCCGATTTGCGCTTTCCTCTTACTTTGTTTTATTTCCTCTTATTTGTTGTATTTTATCTGAGTTTGTAATCTGTTTACAAAACCTTCTCTACTGGCCTGGTGGAAAGAGCATTGGACTGGAAGTCATGAGACCACGACTGTCCCCTGGCTGCCTGGCCTTAGGCAAATCACTTAACCTTTCTGTGCTGGAGTTGCCTCATCTGTCAATTGTGGATAATAATACTTGTCCTTTCTACTGCACAGGGTCATTGTGATGATCAAATGAGAGAACAGACAGGAGAGCCCTTTGAAAACTTACAAGTTCTATACAAATGCAAAGTGGTATTATGGTGGAACTGTTGGAATCAGTGCCCTTGCTTTTCAGTGTGACTCTAATTTTAGCCAACAGTTAGGTTGTAGGTTTTTGATAGACCTCAACTTCAACCCAGGATGTTGTTTCATTGTAATGAAAACTGTAAAATATCTGTATGGGTTTCCGCCAATAGTTTTAATTTAGGGTAGGAGGAAAGAGAACAAGAAGGATGGCATGATTAACAGAGCGTTGCATTCAGAGCTGCACAGAGGAGGAAAAGTCAATTTCCCATTGACTTCCCATTAACTTATTTGAGAGTCTTTGTGCACCGAGAATTTAGAGCAGGGCTCATCAGCACCTTGAAAGGCAGACTAGGCTGGTCTGCTGAAAGGCCTGGCACTCGTATTGATAGATTGGCTAACTCTCCTGAGAATGTGACATGCTTATTTTTAGAAAACACACACAGAGATTGGTTCTGAGTATTTTCACATATATCTGTTGCAGAGAATACATCACTGACATCAGTGTACTTTCATTATGTCTGTGACATAACCACACACAAAGGTGTGTTTTCAAAAACGTACTTTTGGGAAGATTGGACAAATTGTGCCTTTTAAGAATGTTACTGCATGTGATCCTAATGATAATAATAATCGTTCTATTTAAGTGCCTACTCTATATACTAGATGCTTATAATATTTAATTTTCTTTAGTTTTACTAATCACCCTGTGAGGTAGATATCATCATGTCAATTTCTCAGATGAGGAAGCTGTGGTTAAGAGACATGCCCAGGGTCTTAGAGCTAGTATGAATGTAAATATGGAATTTAAGTTCAGTTTCTCCTTATGCCAAAGCCCGTGCTCCTTTGCTATTTATACTGTTTCTCTCCTATCCACCTCCTTGCACATTAGTATTGAGATCTTCCTATGTCATCACCACTATTCAATTTTGATTGATTTGTGTTTATATAACACCCTAGTTGAGATATCTGTAGTATATATTCCTTATGATTTGTGCTTATTTTCTCAATTGTAGTGTTTATTTTTGTGTTGTAGGGAAATATTAGAGTTATGTAATTGTCTTTAAACTTAAAAGTTCCTGAGGTTTCTTGAGAGACATTTTTAGTCTGAAGAGAAGCCATGTAGCACCTTGATGCCCCAAATATGTAGATTTCACAAACTAATCAGTTTTTCATTTTGGGACTGGAAGACAGACATAGACATGGTAATATTTAATGTGCCAAATAAAAATATTAAAACATAAACTAATAAAATTATCTACTATTATTTTATTAATAAAGGAAATAGTGGGAGTCATTTAAAGATTAAAATATTGGGTAGTACATAATATCAAAAGTAAAGATGACCATTACAGTGAGTAAATTTAGTTTGAATGTAAAAACTCGCTACATTATTCTCATTTTTATTAATTTGCTGTGGATGTTGAAACCTTTTTTTATGGCAGTGTCTGTGGACAGTGTTCAGGCCGATCAGGTCCAGATTTTCTCATTATTTCACTGAACAAATATTTAGAGATGGGAGCCTGAGGCCCCCAAGGAATTTTAAATTAAGGTAGACCTCCTGTTTTCTGATTCTGAGTGCTGGAGCAAAATATTTTAAAATAAAAATATCCCTGAGAAAGATGTTTTAAGTCATTTGAAACCTAAATGGATTTCCTTTTCCTCTTATTTGTTGCAGTAGCCCCATCCATCCCACACCCTTTGTTTATGTAGAGTCAGGCTCTGAATAAACATTTAAAAAGTAGAGAGTAAGGGAGTCTCTTTCTTTACAAGCACAAACAAGATTGGTTGGCTGTCATTTTGATCTGTCTTGGTTCTCATGATTGAAATTCCTTTGCGTTCCAGTTTTGCCATAAAGAGAACCATTTGGACCTAATTTCATAATAGATTTTGGTTGATAGTCCTTAGTTGCCAACTTGTTATTAAAACCTGCGTTGGTCTTTATTTTTTAGGCTCAATTTAGCTCTGAAAAATTTTGATTCCCGGATTTAGGTGCTGACATAGGAAGATACTGACAGATGACCCACCACATATTTACTGTAAGAAAAACAGCTTAGGTTTTCATGTGGAATTCAATACATTTGCAGTCACCATAGTATTTCTTAAAAAACCATATGGAGAAAGCAGAACTAGAGAGACTGTTAGCATAAATTCTTTATTCTTTTCCATTGATTACAAAGGTTAAATGAATAAACAGCCTGGATCTCTGCACAAAGTTATAACACATTTTGCAATGTCTAAATTGTAACTTGCAGAATTACTTTTTTTTTATCCTTTGGATGCAAGCATTTTCTGGCTTTGGGCCAACAGAAGCATAAGTTTTTATCAGTAATTTAAATAGATTTTTGTATTAGACCTGAAAATGTTGCCTTTTTAATTGAAAACTTATCAATTATTTAAATTGCTAGCAGCCTTAGGCTGTTAATTTTATGTGTGCCATAATTATAGCATACAGTGGTTTTTGATACATGTGACACATGGAATACCACATTGTGGTAAGGATTTGTCATGACAGTAGGTTGTTGTGTGCTGTTAAATAATAACCAACATATTAAACCAAAGTCTGTTGTCACACATTAGTACCATTTTATGTAAGTTATTTCAAAGTTGTATTCTTTTCTTCATTAGATATATTTTTAAGAGATAACGAGAAGAAAACAAAGCTGTAATAAATTGTCTTTTAAGAAATGTAAAGTAATTTGGTCTCCAAGGAGATATTTAATGTATTGAGAGAATTCAGCAGCCAAGTGTTATTACAGCACCATTGTGGAGCTCTCTGCGTTTTGTTATGAGTTTGTGTTAATCAACAATGTGTTTTTACAGCATAGTTTCTTGTAAGTTATGTTGCTAGAATATTCCACTTCTGGGATCATGGCTTTTTCTCTGACACTATTGTATCTTTTTAATTCCTCCATAAAGTATTTTTTTAATTAGAATTTGAAATGCTTTATTAGGAAAAAAAATACAGCCAACCTACATATTCTGAAAACTAAATACCTGATCATTGCTAATTATTTAAAAGACCCGATTAAATATTCCCTTAATGTAGCTTAAATCTTTTTGGTTTGTTTTCCCTCCCATTTTCTAGAAAGACTGAAGACGGTGTGCTGCTTTTCTGCTTCCATCTTTTTTGTATTTGTTTTCTGGTAGTGCTGGCTTCATTTTCTTACAGCATCAAACAACAATGCTGGGTCTTGTTTATTGATTCATCATAAGCTTTCTCTATCATTGAGACCCAGTTATAGGAGGGGGTTATTTTAATTTAACCTCTGCTTTTGGGTGGCCTTTCATTAAGAAACTCAGCAGTACATCTTGCTTTTATAAGTGGATTCATATTTGTTTCTGCTAAATCCTGTGTCTAGTAAAAATTTATTATACCTGGTTCTCTCAATACTGAGGTATTTGTATGAGTGCAGCACAGTGATAATAATTTTCTTCATTTTGTCCATTCTGTCTCTTTATACCATTTTTTCCCACATTGCCGGAAAAGTATGGGATGAATTTAGCTGTAATTCTTCCCATTATTCCAAGCCCGTGTGTTTTTGTAGAATGTTAAGTACTCCCTTTGGTATACTTGACCACAGTGTACCTTGTTAGACATGGGCACCGTGAGGAAAAATACTTTTGGACCTCTCAAGCACCGTGTAAACTGGGATAGGATTAGATTTATTCTGGCATGCATAGCTTAGAGATTGCCTCTCAAATCATAGTTACTCAAGTGGAGCTGGAAGGGAGGCTTAGAGGTCTTGTCCAACTGTTTCATTTTGCAGAGAAGGAAACTGAGGCCCAATGAGATCAGATTCAGTTGGAAGCCATATTGCTAGTGAATGGGAAGGCCTGACATAGACCCAGGTCTTTGACTCCCTGTCCCTTAACTCCTGGTGGCTTTAAGTGATGTTTTTGTTTTGGCATCTGTTGAGGTAATAATGTGAAAATAATTGAATATAAAAAAATACTCTGTGGGCTTTTGACGTTTTAAAGACTTGTGTCCTTA